ATGACTTTAGTGGGGACCTAATTGCCCTCAGGAAATTGTTTGTAGGGTTCCATCGCAGGCTCACAAAACCTATGTCTTCCCCACCCCTCCCCGTCCATCAGGTTTTTTATACAAAAAGGATTTTCTCAGGCTGGATGCTCTTTCCTTAGAGTCGACCAGAACCCAGGCCTCACTTCTGGCAACTTCCATTGAAGTCTAGTTCTCCAACTTCACCCTCAGCATATACCTGGTCCCTGCCACCTCACCTTGGGCAGAGCACAGATGCCTTCTTTAGGATCACCTGTGGAAAGAGAAGCCATTCCGAGACTTCTGCCCTTCCTAAGGGATTCTTATTGCTGAGTCAGTGCTTTTTGTGAGTTCTTTTGGTGGATCAAGTTCAGGTAAGGAGAGACGCCAACCGCCCACACCATCTGCATGGGGCCTGCCTAAAACAGCATCACTGAGACAGCCGGCATTCATAGTCCAGACTGTGGCGTCAACTGGGCTTCCCTGGTGGCTCAGTGGTAAAGAATCTGCCTGCCAACGCAGGGATGCAAGGTCAATCTCCGGGTTGGGAAGATCCCCTGGAGAAGCAAACAGCAACTCACTCCAGTATTCTTGTCTGGGAAATCCCATGGACAGAGGAGCCTGGTGGGCTACAGTTCATGGGGCTGCAAAGGGTTGGACACAACTTAAGTGACTAAACAGCAGCAACAATATGGCATCATCTAAGAATGAAAAAGACATTAGATAGTTGGCCTGGTCTTCGCACTTTATTTTGGATCTGTATCTTTATTACAAAAGGTCCATTTAATTTCCATGGAGGGAATTTTTCCTCCATTTCCTATACCAAAGAGAAGTGAGTACTTTCCTTCGCAGAGGTCTAGAACACTATTGACTGAGTGTGGGAAATCAGGAGCATAGCAGAGCTGCTTGTGAGATTGACAGGCAATGAATGCATCATTATCTTAGTTAGAGGCCAGCAGTTCTCAGGGGATCTTCCTGTGGGTTAATACTTGACATACTTATGGAGGGAGGAATTGGGTCCTTGGGATGTGAGGGGAGGGTAGTCACCTGTGCCCCTTGTGAAAGATGCTATCAGCATCCTGCCCTTGGTTGGCATTGCCTGATGCCAGGTCAGAGCTGAACCTGTATAAAAGGCAGAAGCCTCAGACAGCACCTCAGTCCACCTGCCTCCAGGGTAACCTGCTCCAGTGTTGAACCAGGTAAAGGACTAGAAGGGACTCTTGGTGCTGGCGCTTTGGGCAGAGAGAATCCCTGGGTGGAGGCCGAAGACCATCTTGAAGGAAGACAAGGAGAAAAGTGGATTTGGCAGGGAAGTTCTGCTGGAAAGGGGAGGGAGGATTAGGAGAAGGGAAAGGATTGGCATCTTTCTGAAGTTGCGAAAGGTTCATTTGATGTTATGGAGTTCCTAGGTTGAAACTCTTTGCTTGTCTCTTGTAACTCATTTGGGGTGACTGGGTTTTAAAATCTGATCACCAAAAAGAAGAAACCTTGTGAAATTATAGTTCAGTTTCAATGTAAGGAAGTTATCTTGGGTTAGTTGAACTTAAAATTTCTCTATTTTCTTCCAGCTCCATTCAGTTCCTGCCAAGATGTCCTGCCAGCAAAACCAGCAGCAGTGCCAGCCCCCGCCCAAGTGTCCCCCCAAATGCCCACCCAAGTGTACGCCTAAGTGTCCTCCCAAGTGCCCAGCCCCGTGCCCCCCTCCAGTGTCTTCCTGCTGTGCCCCCAGCTCCGGGGGCTGCTGCAGCTCTGGGGGTGGAGGCTGCTGCCTGAGCCACCACAAGCTTCGCAGATCTCTTCGACGCCGACATCAGAGCTCTGGCTGCTGTGGCAGTGGCGGTGGCCAGCACTCTGGGGGCTCGGGCTGCTGCTCTGGGGGCTCGGGCTGCTGCTCTGGGGGCTCGGGCTGCTGCTCTGGGGGCTGCTGCTCCGGGGGCTGCTGCTGAACTGGGTCATGAAGACCACTGAAGAGTAACACTGCAGGATTCAAAGAGCTGATGACCTGCCCAGCCTGAGTCTTCTCTTTTTCTGGCTTGGAAGAGTGGAAGAAGAGAATGGAAGGGCTTCTGAAACGCTCAGAACTTCCCTCTTCTTCCTGCCATGTTCATTCCATGGTGAGGTCTAGAGGTGTAACCTCTGATACTCACTGGCCTGATTTCCCGCTAGATATGGTTCTTTGGAGGACTCAGTATTGGAATTTGGGTTGTCACTGTAGCCATAAAGCTTTTTATTCCTGGTGTCACTGCCTCCTGATTGTTTTGTTCACCTCTCCCACTCCCCACCCACTACCTCAAGCCATCTTCCCTCCCCTTCTTCTAAATATAAGTCAACACTTAAAAAATCAGTTTGGGAAACAGATTTTGCACCAAAACTACTTAGACCTCTGGGAGACAGCATTTCCTTTTATGATCTGAAGGAGGGGATTTTAAGCTTGAAGGAAAGAATCATGTTGGAGACCATTACTCTGACACAAGCTTCCCATGAGAAGGGTTGGGAACATGATTTTCCAAAAGGAGATGGTGGGACCCAGAAAGGTCACAGTGAGATGACTCTAAGAGGGTTTCTTTCCAGCATTGGTGATTATTTAAAAAAAAAAACAAAAAAACTTTATTTCCTAGTCACAGACAATAAGATCAGTAAAGTGCTCATTCTGGGCCTCAGTGAATAAACACCTTTACTGATTATTATAATCCTGGGTGCTTCTGTTAATTGACTAGAAAGGAGAGCTGATGGAGGTTAGTTTCTGGGGGACGAGTTTAGGAGGCAGGTATGGAATTTCTGAGTCCATTTCCTCTGGCTCCTGAAAGCCAGAGTTTGAGTCTGAATAGGGAACCCAGAGGGGCTTCCCTGGTGGCTCAGTGGTAAAGAGTCCACCTGCCAGTGTAGGAGATGCAGGAGACTTGGGTTCAATCCCTGGGTCAGGTCAGGAAGATCCCTTGGAGAAGGAAATGGCAACCCACTCCAGCATTCTTGCCTGGGAAATCCCATCAACAGAGGAGCCAGGTGGGCTATAATCCACGGGGTTGCAAAGAGTCAGACATGCCTAAGTGTCTGAGCATAGGGAACCGACAAGGACTCCTTCCTCTGCACCCCTTTGGTTGGGGTGGGGTGGGGTGTGTGAGGAGGGGATGGAGGCAAGAGCACGGGAGCTTCTGTCACTGGGTTGGGTTTTTCCTTTAAGAATAGGCTGATTCCTTCAGGAAAGACTCCAAAAGTTAGTGATAGAAATAATTCTGCATCAGCCTTTTATGTACAAGATGAGCAATTAGCCCTTCCTTTGATAAGAATTAGCAGTGATGGGTAATGAATGTTAGTATATGAGGCTACAGCAAGTCCATACAATGAGCATGTACTTGCCCAAATCGTCTCCCAGAGGAGATCCTGTCTCCATCTTGTTACTTCATTACTTCCTTCTCTTTTCTACTATTGACCTCATCTCTCTAGTATCTCATCTGTACTCACTAACAGGTGGCCCTAGGTACATGCAACCTGTTAATCAGGCTCTAAAGCCATGTTAAACGAAATTGGTATCTTTTCGTGACTTACCTTTCCTTGTCTGCACCCTCATGCCACACCCAGCTCACTCATTCCCAAACCTGTCTCACCATCAATTCTTGACTTCTTAGTCTTGGATTTCTCTTTTACCTTACACTCATGGTTGTGGGCAGCTGCACTGATTAAGAAGCAGTTCTGATACCAGTTAACCTCCAAAGTCTCTCCCAATTCTTAAAAGTTGGTTATTCCGTATGTGTGTGTTAGTTACTCAGTTGTGTCTGACTCTGTGCAACACATGGACTATAGCCTGCCAGGTTCCTCTGTCCATGAAGTTCTCCAGGCAGAATACTGGAGAAGATCCCCTGGAGTGGGTAGCATTCCTTTCTCCAGGGGATCTTCCCAACCCAGGGGTTGAACCTGTATCTCTTGCATTGCAGATGGATTCTTTACCATCTGAGACACCAGGGAAGCCCTAGTTATTCTAAAGGCACCATTTTTGATGGACACTTTGGACCTTGGGACAGGTCTCCTAGCCTCCCTCCACCCTCTTTCTCCACACTTCCTTCCTTCCTTTCTCTTTCTTTCTTTCCTTCCTCCTTTTCTTTTTCTTCCTCCCTTCCTTTTTCTTTCTTCTTCCCTTCTTTCTTTCTCTTCACATTGGGCAGTGGCCCCAGGGAGAACCTATCTTCAAAGGGAGTTTGAGATGAAGTCAGGAGCAGAGAGTCTCACAATCTGACAATATTTGTATTTGACAATCTGACCGGCATCCTGTGAGTATTTCTTTTAGGTTCATCAGGGTTATATGGGGGTATGACAGATAACCTAACTACATTCACAGCTTTCCTGGTCTTAACTGTTACATAACTTTGCTTGGGTTTTTCTTCTTGTCTTCAGTAACAGAGAGAAATTGCCACTGAGATTCCCGTAGGCACATCTCCACCATCATCTTCACTCAATCCCACCTGGAAGCATTTGGATGAAACCCACCAGGCTTTTCCCATAAACTTGAGGGGCTAAGGACCAAGATCCTGAGAGATGTGAACCAAGATACCAACTGGACTACAAATGACCATCTAGATAGCAATCTTGGGATGAGTGTGTGAACAGGGGAACAGTGTGTGTGTGTGTGTGTGTGTGTGTGTGTGTGTGTATGTGTATGACTGTACACTGCAGAAAAGGGCAAAGAGAATAGGTCCCAAGAGAGGACCAGACCTCTCCTCACTCGGGCCCCCCGGCCCTGTCTTAGCACACACACAGCCCTCCCAGCTATGAACAGAGGCCTATTTGGAAAGTAAACATGCTGCAGCAATCCTGGCACCTCTGTGAGGTGACTTGAATACACACGTGCACCACCTCCGGGGCTACCTGAGTGATGAATGTCTCTGGGATGTGTCAGCTGACCATGTCTGTTGGGAAATGGGCCCCTCCCAAGAGTCAGTGCCTGGGTTCTTATAAAAGGTCCTCTGGCTGGACACTGCTCAATCCACTGCCTAGCAGGTGGCCCACTCCAGTTGGAAAACTAAGTGAGTCTTCCAGCGAAGCCAGGGTCTGGTAAGTCTCCAAGTGGAAGTTGGGGGAGGAGGATGGGAAGAGCTGAAGACAAGAGGGGAGGAGAAGGCAGAACATAGCAAGCAGGGAGATGCAGAAGGAAGGCCCTGGAGAGTGCCCTAAGCTTCAAGTGAGCTGACCTTGCCTGGTGTCAGTGAGCACGTGGAAGCTGGATTGGGGGTGGGGGGACTGCACGGTCACACGGCAAGTCTACAGCAGAGATGTGACTCTCCTAGAACCCAGGTTTTTGGCTCCCTGGAGGGGGATGTATTTCCATCCTTTGCCCCACTCTCCTTTTCCTTATGGTCGTGGGGGATGACAGACATAGGCCAGGACATGCTTCTGGTGTTTGTGGATCCTTTAGACCCAAATGACTGGGACAGACAGATGCACGTGTGACTTGAGTATTTTCTAACTGTCGTCGCCGTTTAGTCACTTAGTCATGCCTGGCTCTTTGTGACCCCGTGGACTATAGCCCACCAGGCTCCTCTGTCCATGGGAATATCCAGGCACGAATACTGGAGTAGGTTGCCATTCCTTCTCCAGGGGATCTTCCCCGATCCAGGGATCTAACCTGAGTCTCCTGCTTGGCAGGTGGACTCTTCACCACTGAGCCACTGTGGAAACCCCATTAGTGTTAATGCAATGCTGATGGCTAGGGGAACACTTGAAGGCCTATGGCCACAGAAACATGGGAGAGGGGAAAAGAGACGGGAGAAGATTTTGGACAGAATCAGACAGAAAAATTGCCACAGTATCCTTTCTTTTCCACTGTAAAGAACTTGGGTGGTCCTTACTCTAGTCAGAGAAAATGGGAAACCACTGATTTCTTTTCATAGGCTGTGGCTACTGTAGGCAGGTTTTAACTCAGGGGAACTCACTCACTGGAATACCTGTTTGAGGGTTTTCCTTTGCTTCCCCTTTTTCTTGCTCTGTGTGTGTGTGTGTGTGTGTGTGTGTGTATGCGTTTTCCTTCCGTGTGTGTGTGTGTGTGTGTGTGTGTGTGTAGCGTTTTCCTTCCTGGCATTAGGCCAGGTTCTCAAAGGCACCTCTCAAAAGCCCTCTTTGGAAAGAAACAGAACTCGCATATGAAAAGCTGCTTCTCTTTCAGGTTCTCCGTGACGATGTCCTCTCAGCAGAGCGCCAAAGGCTCTCCCAAGGGCTCTTCGCAGGGCCCCACCCCTTGTCCCGCCCCGGCGCCCGACACCTCCTCCAGCAGCTCTGGCTGCTGCGGGAACGGCTGCTGCGGCTCCAGCGGCGACTCCGGCTGCTGCGGGGACTGTGGCTGCGGCGGCTCCAGCTCCGTCGGTTGCTGCTGCTTCCCCAGGAGGCGCCGGCGGCAGGGTAGACGCGGCTGCGGCTGCTGCGGAGGCAGCAACCAGAGCTCCGGCTACTACGGCTCCTCCGGCTGCTGCGGGTGCTGAGGCCACTCCCGTACCCTCGCGAGAGCTGCTCCCACCCCGCGCCCGTGCCCCTCCGTACCGCGCTCCCCTGCGAGGCGGCGCCTCAGAGTTTGCCTCCCCGCAAAGCTAATTGCTCTTGGATGTTCGGATACCCACTCTGTATTCAGCCTCACAAAGCTTCCTGGCCCACGTGTGCTTTTTCTCCTTGGGAACCTGAAAGCCGTGGGTGGACTTTACTGTCTGCAAGGGCTTGCAAACAGTTGGCACTCAATAAATGCTTACTGATTTGATTGTTGTTTGAAGACATGTCATAATAAAGCTTCTACCTCCTGAGACCACCCCCTCTGTTATTTGTTCTTTAGTTTTTTTAGTGTATTTATCATCGTGTTCTGCTCCTCCATCCTCTCCGCTCAGCTCTGGCTTGGCGGATTTGTAACAGGCAGGAAACTGAAATTCATGCCTGCGTAAGAGTGGCTTTCTGGTTCTTAATCTTGATAGCAGGAGTCACATAAGGAGCCAGGCAGTATTCTGAGGGCTTTATGGGACATGCATCATCTCACAGTGACTCAAGGAGGTAGGTGCTGTTAGCCCCATTTTACAGAGGAGAAACTGAGGTTAAGGAGCTGGCTCAAAGTCACTCAGCCAATAGATGATGGACAAGCCAGGGCTTATGCTCCTAACTGCTCTGCTTGGGCCTGGGAAGCCTTCCAGAGCCTTGCTCCGTGGAGGTGCTCACTCTCCTATCCATCAGGCACAGGCAGCTGCGTGGCAAAGGTTTGGATCTGCAGTTCTTGAGGGCCTTTGGAGTCAGGTGAGCTGAGACTTAACTTCTGGTGCAGAGGATCACTAGTCAACTGCTTTGCCTGTTGGTTGTTGCAGGAGATTGCAAACCTCCTGCTCCAAGCCTCAGTCATACAGCTGAGATCCAACAGCGAGCCATGGGTTTTCGGGACCCTGCAGGATGAGAAGTGCAGGGCATGGAAATGCGGGAATGTCGTTCTCTAGAGGTGGTGGTTGTGATGGAGCCATCCTGAGTAGCTCAGAAACCCCATCTTGCAGGCACAGACCTCATTCAGTCATTTCAGGAAGAAGAAACACAACAAAGTCCTCTGTAGCAGTGTATGCTGGGCTCACAAGGGATGAGGTGATGATAATGGTATTAATAATAGTGGCAATAGTTACCATTTGTTGGGCATTCACTCTGTTCTCATGCTTCCTTGGTCACAAGGTTAGCCACGTTACATATATTATCTCATTTAAATCCTCACAATAATCTCAATATATAGACACGAAGTTCCCTATTTTTTTAGGTGATGATGAAACTGGGGATCAATTTCAGTGACTTGGCCAAAACTGCACAGCTAGTGAAAGTCTCAGGCCCCCAGATGGCGAGTGAGGGTGATGAGATTTGAACTGGGGTCTGTCTGATTCCAAAGTCCATCTTCTCAGACTCAAGGTATCATATTCTCCTCCTTTAGAAATCACCATCACACTCTGGCCTTTGCAGACACACCCAGGCTCTTAGAAAATTGAAGCTTGGCTTCTTGGCTGCTGCTCCATCCATGACCCAGTGACTGGTAAACTCTGTCACGGCATCCACCCAGCCCAGGTTATTTGCTTAGAGACAGGGTAAGAAATTCTTCATTGATTCATCCAGGATATTTAAAGTTGAGACTCAATGACCCCTGTCAGGGAGGCTCTGAAAGGCAGTCCCACTCTGGATGGGAGGGGCCCTTGTTTCCATCTGTTAGACTCTGTAGTTTCCAGTGGGAGGTGATTTGTGGAAATTGTTTACAAACAAATGACATCACCCATGGACCTGACACTCCCACACCAGTGATGTGTGTTGAGGCAACAAGCCCTGGAACTTTGGAGAGGTGAGGTGGGAAGGGAGAACTGCCTGACTCAGAACAGACAGATTGGAAAACCAACCTCAGGGTGGGAGGTGACCCTTAATCAGGAAGCTGAGGCATGAGTTTTAGGAAAGAAAGATGGTGATTCACTGAGAGACATGTGAACCCAATGGGAGTACACACCCTTGAACATGAGGCACAAAGATATGAATTAAATGGTTGACTGTGAGATGGTGGTACTGCCAGGCTCAAGTGTCCCTGACCCCCAGCAGGCCACTGCAGGGAGACTCTTATGAGAAAGGTTTGGGCATTCCAAGAATAGTTCTATTACAGAAACCCAGGAAGCTACTTTGGATGGGCTGGAGCTCTCTGCTCATGGCCGAGTAGCCTTTTCAGATTTCAACAGTAGGTAAAGCTGTATTAGTGGCACAAGCATTCCCTTGGAGGTGGTGGCAGTCTCCCCTGGGAATTCTGGACCTAAGGGGAGTTGGCAACATGAAATCCTACTCAAAGGTTGTCACCCAAGTATACTGTGACAGGCAGAATCATGTTTCTTATCATCTTTGGAGAATAAGGCTGAAAATTATCAGTAAGACAGTGACAGTGACAGCATTTCTGAGAGTATTTTATTCATGATGGATCCAGTTCCTGCTTCATTTATGTTATTACAGTAATAAAAATAGCAACTTATATTTATATAGAACTTAGCAGTTTTTAGGGTGTTTTCACATATCTTTTTCACAGTCTCTAAGACATATTATGTTCTCTGTATAACAGATTGGGGGAGGCTCTGAGAGTTTACCCAATACACCTGAGGTTATTCAGCAAAGAAGTGGCAGTCTCTGGACTAGGGTTTGCACTGCTCTCCAAGGGAGCCAAAAGCCACTTCTTTTTAAAAAACAAAACAAAACAAAACAGTATTGGAGTATAATTTACAATGTTGTCTTAGTCTTAGATGTACAGCAAATTTAATCAGTTCCACATACACATGCATGTGTGCTAAGTTGCTTCAGTCATGTCCTACTGTTTGTGACACTATGGGTTGTAACCCATCAGGCTCCTCTGTCCAGGGAATTTTCCAGGCAAGAATACTGGAGTGGGTTGCCTTAGCCTTCTCCAGGGGATCTTCCTGACCAAGGGATTGAATCCACATCTCTTTAAGTCTTGGCAGTTGGGTTCATTACCACTAGTGCCACTTGGGAAGCCCGTACATATATCCACACTTTTTTGGATTCTTTTTGCATATAGGCCATTACAGAGTCTTGAGCAGAGTTCCCTGTGCTTTACAATAGGTCCTCATTAGTTATCTATTTTATACAGAGTAGTGTGCATATCTCTTTCCTAGTTTCCCAATTTACTCCTACCAGCTGCGTAGCGCCTGCTAACCATAGTTTGCTTTATACATCTGAAAAGCCACATCTTAATTTGCACACTGGGATAGTTGAATGTTACTATTGTTTAGTGGCTAAGTTGTGTCCAACTCTTTTTCAACCCCATGGAATAGAGCCTGTCAGCCTCCTCTGTCCATGGGATTTCCCAGTCAAGAAGACTGAAGTGGGTTGCCATTTCCTTCTCCAGGAGATCTTCCTGACTCAGAGATTGAAACTATGTCTCCTGGACAAGTGAGTTCTTTACCACTGAGCCACCAGGGAATAATGGCACCCAATTAATTATTTAGAGACAATGTTTATTTATTGCTTATTTGTCATTGCATTCCTAGCATTTAAACTGTTCCAGGTAAATAAAAGTTAATAAGTAAATGGGTGTTAATTAGTGTATCATGTGTAAAATATTGAGTGAAACAATTCTAGGAGATGCACAAATGTATGTCTTGAGCACAAGGAGATTATAGTCTAATTTGAGAAACATGGTAAATAAACATACTAGATATGAATGATAATATCACATACAAGAAATAGTGTCACAAATGGATACATATATTATATACAAATACAGGAAAAATAAAAAACAGAACAGGATATAGATAAGCACTACAAGGGTTCAAATGAATTTAGATGAGAAATTTTTGTGTGCATGACTGCTCAGTGGCTCTATTGTATCTGACTCTTTGCGACCCCATGGACTGCAGCCCACCAGTCTCCTCTATTCATGGAATTACACAGGGAAGAATATTTGAGTGGGTTGCCATTTCCTCTTCCAGGGGATCTTCCTGACCCAGGGATTGACTCTAGCTCCCCCACATCTCCTGCATTGACAGGTGGATTCTTTACCCTTGAGCCAGGGAAGCTCACTACTATATATATACTAGATAAATACAAGGACCTATTAACTAGTACAAGAACTCAACTCAATATTTTGTAATAACCTGTAAGGGAAAGGAATCTGAAAATGAATAGATAGATATGTTTAAAAAAAAAAAGTTGTGTAACTTTTCTGAAGCCTCAGTTTCTTCATTTGCAAAATTTAGCCTACTCTATACCATTGCAAAAGAAATTAAATGAGATAATGTGTGTAAATCCACTTAGCACAACGAGTACCCAATAAACTGTAGCTGTTATTACACCATTAATATTCAGCTGATAGTAAACCATTCAATATCATGGTAACCAAGTCTATGCCCCAACCAGTAATACTGAAGAAGCTGAAGTTGAAAGGTTCTATGAAGACCTACAAGACCTTTTAGAACTAACACCCAAAAAAGATGTCCATTTCATTATAGGGGACTGGAATGCAAAAGTAGAAAGTCAGGAAACACCTGGAGTAACAGGCAAATTTGGCCTTGGAGTACAGAATGAAGCAGGGCAAAGGCTAATAGAGTTCTCCCAAGAGAACGCANAGACTGAGCACCTTTCACTTTCAGAGGAGGGTGGCAGTGAGTAGAAAGCAATAAACAAGGTAATAATGAATGAGAGAATTAAATAGTATGTTACAAGGTGATAAGCAGAGAAGAAAGAAAGATAAAGATATTGGGAGAAGGGTGAATAGTGCAGAACTCTTCAAGCAGGTGACACTTAACTGAGAACTTGGAGATATGTTATGTGTGTCACTCGCTCAGTCACGTCCAACTCTTTGCAAACCCATGGACTGTAGCCTGTCAGCTTCCTCTGTCCGTGGGATTCTCCAGGCAAGATTACTGGAGTGGGTTGCCAGAGAAGTCGTGGCTATTATTTGGGAGAATATCTGGAGGAACCATCCCTGGGAGAAGCTAACCAGAGACTTAAGATGAGCACATAATGCCAACTATTTGAAGAAGAGCATGAAAGCAACAGAAGAGATAAATGATAGTAGGAAATCTAGGTAGAAAACAGACACAATTTTTACTCTGAGTGAGATGGGATAACAGTGGCAATTATTGAGCAAAGGAATGATATGCTCTGGTTTATGATTAAAAAAAAAATCATTCCAGTTGCTGTGTTGGAAAAAGACAGTAAGTGGGCAGGTATAGAAGCAGAGAGACCATTCAACAAGCTATGGTGGCAACCAGGCAAGAGAAGATGACAGCTTGAACTTGATGTCGGTAA